TTCTGGCAGGACATTCATACAGGCAGTTCCTTGTGTTCTCGTAGCTTTTAGTGCAGAGCTCTAAATTTAATTCTTCATCTGTCAACTGGCAGACATGCCTACAGAGTAAAGCAGCTACCAGGTGAAGAAAAGTAAAACTACAGTAACAGGACAATCAGAAATAATAACTAAGAAAAAGACTGCATGTGGAATGCACGTCTCGATGGGGAAGAAAATCTGATTCCTCCTTTTATCATATCCAAAATATTCTTTGTCGTGTTGCTCTGTATTCGTACAGAAAATCCACAGAAGGCAGGGGCAGTGGTAAATAGAGAAGAATATTGATCCCACTCGAAGCCATAGTATCAGTCCTGATAAACTCAGCTTTTAGAAGAGGAAGAGGCCATGAGTGCAATTCACTATTTTGCTATGGATGAAGTCACAGAGCCAGGCAGTGAACCACACACTGGCAAATAAATATTCAAAAACAGAGAAAATCTGAAGCATTAGAAAAACGTGCAGCACACTAGGAACCACCACTACTCATACCCAGGCTCATCAAGAGTCTCCCTAGAGGCTAGGGTCCCCCTTTCCTGGAGCTGGTTCAGTAATAATCATTTTTAATATTCAGGCTATTGGAGATGAATCTACCAGAGCCCATAACACAACAGAAATCAGGAATGAATCAATGAATGCATGAATAATCTTTTCTGATACTGTAAACCTGCAGAAGCAGTTCATCAGAGTTCTTCCTGGGATGCAGAAAAGGGTGTGTGCTTTTAATGGCATCAAAAAGCTTCCCTGTAAAAACTGTAGTGTATCCGTCTTTGAGCTGACCTCTGGTCAGAGTAAGGTATTTTCCTCATGATACAGTGAAACAGCAGTGGTGCTTCTAACATGTAATATTTCCCACGTTCTTATGCCCTAGTCCACTACCAGGAAGTTTTTTTGGTTTAGGGTTTTTTAGTTGGCAACTGATCTGTCATTACAGTGTTCCAACATTATAACAATCTGTCCGTCAGGTTGCCCAAATTCTCAGCTTTCAGTTTTTAAAAAGTATGTATGGATACATAAGAAGAAAGTTGGATCTCCTCCACAAAAGGAGCTAAAGGATTAATTTAAAAAAAATTAAACCTGTGAATTTAGAGAATCTGATAGACAGTTGGTAATAATTTTAGGCTGCTATAATAATATGTCAAAGTGTCCTCCAATGAGGAAATGACTACTACCGGGGACTTGCATGCAGAAAACGGCACTGATGTGGGCGGAACTGGAAAGATATGAACTTTCCGTTGCACATCTGTGCACTCCAGACTTTGCTGTACTCTCTCTCAAAATGCTGCAGCAAAGCAGGTTTGAGGAAGACAACAGGAAAGATGGAGAACACTCAGGAGGCACATGGATTCACCACAGTGCTGTGGAGAAGGGGGGGGGAACCCCTGCTTCACAAAAGCATCCAAGCTGGAGCCAACAATCATGTGCAAGTCACCTAAACGCAAGACCAGGGGTAAAAAGGTAAAGGTAAAGGTTCCCTTGCTCGAACGCCAGTCGAATCCGACTCTAGGGTTGCGGTGCTCATCTCCGTTTCAAAGCCGAAGAGCCAGAGCTGTCCGAAGACGTTTCCGTGGTCATGTGGCCGGCATGACTAAACACCAAGGCGCACGGAACGCTGTTACCTTCCCACTGAAGTGGTACCTATTTATCTACTTGCAATTTCTTGCTTTCGAACTGCTAAGTTGGCAGGAACTGGATCTAGAGACGGGAGCTCACTCTGTCATGCGGCAACTCGGGTCTCGAACTGCTGAACTACTGACCTTCCACAGCCTGCAGTTCAGCGTCTTAACCACTTGAGCCACCACAACTCCTAAGACCAGGGGTACCCACCAACATTTTTCCTGGTGTCCAGGAAGTGTTTGTAGAAAGAGGGTGGAACCAAGTGGGGCTCCTGTCTAGGAGGGCTTCTTATTGGCTGTGGAGAATAAAATAATGTTGTTAGCAGCAACTGCAGGCTCAAAAATATTGGAGACCCCTGTGGAACACAATTCTTGTGTTAAACATAAAACTAAGAGGTACTTTAAGGGAAAATTAGATTTCTATATTTTGAAATGCAAGACATACCTCCCAGATTGTTTTTCTGCTAGGACTGTATTTATCAGACAGTGGATATGCTTAGAGGGAGGCATATGTCTGCCCCTTTACATCTCAATTCTTTTTGTTCAAACATTTTGGTAATATACGTGCTCTAAACTACTGTACAAACAAAACCTTGAATCCATCTTTAAAGGAAATACATTTAAATAAATGAATATTGTGTCAGTTTGGAGATAAGCTGATTTGTTGTTTCTTCACTGCTACAATGACGATAGTTCTTCTTTAAGAAGCAGGAAACAAGAGTCAGAATTATTATAGCATTTGCAGGAAAGAATTACTCCAGGGGGGACAGATGCTGCTGGTATAAATGGCCCCAAAGGCACTTTCAGACTTCAGAAGCTTCTTCTGGTTTGATGACACTGATGTCAAATAGAGGACTTGTACCTCAAGAATGGGAAGTCCCTTGGCAAGTGGGGTGGGGGAGGATTGTTCCTGCCTAACTCTCCATCAAAGTTCAGCAAGGTCACATATGGCCTTGGAGAAGGGACCCTGTGAACATTTGGTCCACCCCTGCCCACTGGGAATTGGAGGACTGCCAGAGGGTCCCTTCAAGATGGCCCCAGAGGCCTCCTCTTCTCATATCTCTTATGGGAAGAGTGCTGGAAGTAGCACAGCACAGCTTTTTCACATAACTGATGCCTCTGCTGGCAGTAATGAGGCTGAAAGAAACAAGGGCAAAAGAGTTTGTGGGTGGGTGTGTTTGCACGTGCACACACTCACAGGTATATGCATGCACTTATTGCACAAGAAAAAGAAGTCCGTGTACTGGAGGGCCTCTTGTCCAGGGGCTCTCAAAACCTGGAGTGGGGCCCAGCTTCAGGACGGTTCCAGCAAACTCAGCTCAACTTCATCACTTTGTTGATCCAGTCAACGTAGAGGGAGACGCGGGTGAAGAGGGCAGGCTTGTCTTTGCGAGCACACACACGGGATGGGGTGATCACGCCCTCCAGCACCCAGCAGTCGTGCGTCAGGCAGGCCAAGGGGCCTCCAAAGTCACCCTGGTCAGGAGAACAAGAGACAGTTCCTGTAACAGCAACTCCTAGCCTGGAGCAGACAGCACAGACAGCTGCTTCACCTCTCAAGACATCACTTGGACTCTTCCAAGTTCCTGTGTCGGTTTTTCCTGTTCCTGGAATTTGCTCAGATACATTCATGAGCTGCTTTATTTTCATATCCTGCCCCTTCTCCAATAAAAGGACAGTTTCCTGTTGCTTGTCTGTCTCAGCCTTTCCCCTGCCTCCCCCTTTGTCCTCCTCTTTCTGCTCACTAACAACCCCTACTCTCTTGGAAACCCTTTTTCCTTCCTTGCCTCCCACCGCTCAGACTTGCCACGTGCAGCTAAATTCAGTCCCCAAATCTTTGCCTTGCTTACCTCGCAGGCCCCCACACCTATCTGCAGGGGCTGTGTACACAAGTCGCTCTCCTTCATGCGGCCCCGAAGTGCCACTTTGCACTCCTGATTGTTCATGACATGTAACTCAGCCACATGGAGCATATTTTCATTGCCAGTCCCTGTGGGTTGGAGGGAAGAGGCAGAAACAGAGGCTTAGGGATGTGCACTGTCAGGTCTGATGAGATGGCCTGCAGGACTTGCACTTAGGCTAGGCCAGGGCATCAGGGGTAACTCATCCATCCTCTGAGACAGAGCCATTTCACAGAGAAACTATGTATGAGTGAACTGTAGGACCAAAGTGTAGAAGAGAGAGACAAGCTATACTGTAGCTCTAGACTGTTGAAGCAGGGAGAGAGAGTAGGAGGAGGCAATACTTACTCTAGAGCAGCCACAATACAGTAGAATGGTGATTGGAAGGGTGAATGCAAACCACAATTCTCCCCCCCACCACCAAGACCCTCCCCTTTCCTTTTCCCCAGCCTCTTTGGTACCTCTGGTCTCACCCCATCCTGCGATCTCACACTTGGTATTCTCAGGCACAATGTACTGCTCAGGCGGGAGACAGATCAATTCCACACGTGGATTCAGAACTGCTGGTCTGCAGAGAGAGGGGCGGGAAGCATAAATTCATTCACAAAGCGCTGCCTGCCTCAAAACCCTGCTCGTAGCCAGCCGAGTGTGGGCGACAGCAGCCTCTCTGTCCAGGAGTAAGCTTTTCGCAGGCCACTGTAAATGCTTACTGGTGCACATGGCGACAGATTTGACATAAACAGCAAAAAGAAAAAAGAGGGCTGCACCAATCACTGAGATGAAAGACACATGCCAGCTGTGCAGTGGGAAAGAAAACACTGATTGATGGAATACTAAAAAGGCCCCTTGCATTTCACTGTGGCTTCATCAGGGGATCTGAAACATGCTATAGAAGGAATATAAATAAAATCATATGAAAACACGTCAAAATATAAGATACTGAAAACACATTAGAAGAAACCTGAATGAATGAGCACCAGCAAGAACACGACGTAAGTCGAAAAATCCCAGTGACTATACATATAATCACGTTGCAGACAACAAAACGTACACACCTGAGCAAAGCAATATAGAGCTCCATCCACCAACACACACAGTCAAACACACATGGTTAAAATCATCTGCCCCAAGCATAAAATATCACATAATAATACACAGGCCAACAGGTTTGAAAAACATGAAATAAAACTAATCTCTAAATATAGAGTGTTATGTTCTTCTGCAATACGAGTTTTTAAATTCCTCGATGTTTTGCTAACACAGAACTTATGACAAGGACATTTGATGGCACAATTTACCTGCTAATTGGAGCTGCATGTAGTGAAGTTCATACAATATATAATCTACAGGATTTATGAAAACTTTCATACTACAGGTGTACTTAACAATACATGCAGTTCCCACAGGAAAAAAGCCCCTGTGGAAGAGCAGTTCCTGGTAAAGTCTATTGAGTGTTGACAGCAAGACAGATGTTAATGTGTGTCAATTGATCTCCCACATTGTATGTTCTGTTAAAAGAGATGAATCGACTTTTGTCACACATAAGATGTGTGTTCCAGTTCCTAGATTTGCTTTTCTTCAGATGAACATGCAGCTGCAGTAAGTCAGGCAGCAAGTAACCCTCCCAAGGTCAACTTTTTTCCTTACTGAATATAATAGAGATAAAAAGGCCTTAGAGTAGGCTCACTACAAGACTGGCTGTGGATATCCTATGGCTGCTAAACTGTCAATTAAAATTGATGCCTTTTCATGAAAATAATCCAGTTTGGTACAATTTTGCCTACGTCTGATCAGCTGACAGTTGTTCTTAATATATTTTGTATGGTGGCTATCATCTTACAAGAGAATTTTTATATGGGGTCTATGGCTTCAGAGACTGACAATTTGTATATGAGTCACTTTGAGGAGCAATTCACAATACAAGAACTTGAGGGCACTCTATAAAATTGCTGAGCAGTCGGGGTAGAATGGATAAAAGGAAGTACTTCTTCACCCAAAGAGTAATTAACACATGGAATTCACTGCCACAAGAGGTGGCGGCGGCTACAAGCATGGATGGCTTCAAGAGGGAATTGGATAAACATATGGAGCAGAGGTCAGTGGCTATTAGCCACAAGGTATAGATAGGAACTCTCAGTCTGGGGCAAGTGATGCTCTGTATTCTTGGTGCTTGGGGGGGGGCAACAGTGGGAGGGCTTCTAGTGTCCTGGCCCCACTGCTGGACCTCCTGATGGCACCTGGTATTTTTGGCCACTGTGTGACAGTGTTGGACTGGATGGGCCATAGCCTAATCCAACATTGGCTTCTCTTATGTTCTTATATTCTTCCAACAATCCTTTTTAAACTAGCCAAATGATGGCGCTGTTTAGATGATGCCTTTTTGCTGTGTGTGGGTGATAAAAATCAATTGTTAGACTTCCACAACTGAATTGACCTACAGGATGAAAACATCAAATTTCTACTACACGTAGATAATAGACAGATCATGTTTGTTTATTTGGCTTCGTGCCCACCCTCCCCTGCAAGCAGGCTCAGGACAGGTTACAAGAGAACAATGAACAACATAGTCCAACATATAAAACAACAATTCTTAAAACCCAAGTAACAATACAAATAATTAATTAACAATACACAGAACACAATAGATAGCACCATTTAACCAATCCATCTCCATCTGCTCCCGTGCAAGTTCCACATATATTTACAGGTGGGTGGTAACTAGTACTGGGGGGAACAGGTGCATGAAAGATAACACAAGTTGGCAGCAGTGCAAGGGAAGGCCCATATAAATATAAATTTGAACGTGGGGCAAACAACCTTAGTCATTAAGTTCCTTTCACCTTAGTCATGAAGTTCCAGGGTGGGTAACTCCATGCTGTTTTTCTGCCCACATACCAGGTTCTTAGATGAGATAGTGAGCAAAGTAAATGGCAAGATCTACGTGAGTCTATATTTAAAAAGCTCTCAGACAAAAATTCTCTCCCTCTCTTCATTCATTATACTCAGAGACCTACGGCCTTAACACCACCACCTTTGCCACCCTCACTAAACAAAGGTCAGGGGAGCCTCCCCTCCTGTAAAATCCATTCTATTTCTGGCCCTGTTTGAGGGGAGAACCATGCGCCGCCAGCCTCGGGTATTTCCCACACAGGAACAGGCTTCTGTAGTTTTCCAGCCACGACTGCTAATACAGTACAGCGGCCACAGAGCTTCCACACAGCAGGCATCCCTGGTAGTTGTTTTTAAAATCAGGAATTGAGTAGTGCTATATTGATATACCCTTATACCAAGATATGTATCAGGCTCTGAATTACCAACTTTCTTCATAATAAAATAAAAGAATGGGCCTGGGAAAATCCAAACTTTCTTAGCCGCACAGCAGCCATCTAGCTTTTCTGTGATATTTCCCAAAACTTTGGAGCCAAACAAGTTTGGGAAAGATCAAACAAAAACCAGGGAAACTATGGGAGATGCACAAATGCATCACGATGCTGAGAGGAAGCAAGAAGGATGGCTGTTTCCTCACTGCATTGAATGTGAGGCAAACAACATATGTGGAAACTGTTTGCATGTCTAATGCAACATCTCTGAAAAGGCTTCCTTTCACCTCAGTCATGGAGTTCCAGGGTAACTCCATGCTGTTTTTCTGCCCACGTGCCAGTCTTTTGCTTTGTCTCCTCAGAACCCTGGAATACGGTTGCTTGGTAGGGCCATTTCCTTATGGATTATCTGCATAGGGTGTTTCCCCTGCACTGTTTCCCCACAGCATTGTGGTGCACTGTGCATCTCCTGGAGTTTCCCGGGCTTTTCTCCAATTTTTTTGCAAACATGCTTCGCTGCGATGTTTTGGGAAAGATCGCAGTAAAGCGTAGATGCTACTTTGCGGGTGGGAAAGCTTGGATTTTCCCTGACCCTATCCCTACAGCAGCCATTTCCTCCTCCCACTATTCAGGGTCTTTAAAAAAAAAAAGTCAATTTCATATTGTTATAGTGATATACTATTATAACAGTAAGTGTAACCTCTCTATTTTTAGACTTGCCAGCCCCTTCCATTTGCAGTGATATTTTGTTTCTTTTATTTATTTGATTTATACACCACCCTCCCCTAGGTGTAGGGCTTAGGGTGGTGAATGACAGTTCAATAAATACATTTAAAGGTAAAGGAAAAGGTTCCCTTGCTTGAAAGCCAGTCGAATCCGACTCAAGGGTTGCGGTGCTCATCTCCGTTTCAAAGCCGAAGAGCCAGCGCTGTCCGAAGACGTTTCTGTGGTCATGTGGCCGGCATGACTAAACGCCAAGGCGCACGGAACGCTGTTCCCTTCCCACCAAAGTGGTACCTATTTATCTACTTGCAATTTCCTGCTTTCGAACTGCTAGGTTGGCAGGAGCTGGAACTAGAGACGGGAGCTCACTCCATCATGCGGCACACTCTGGTCTCGAACTGCTGAACTACCGACTTTCCACAGCCTGCAGTTCAGCGTCTTAACCACTTGAGCCACCGCAGCTCCTATAAATACATTTACAATTGGATTAAAACCATTAAAAAAAAAAACAAATCCTATAACTGTTTCAGATAGTGTGTAAAAACCAGTTGATGTCCATGCCCCATGAGGGGAGAGGAGAGAGAGAGGAGGCCAGGCTCGATGAAAAGCCATTGCTGTCCTCAACCATAGGCCTGGTGGAGCATCTCTGTCTTACAGGCCCTGTGGAACTGCACGGGTGTCAATTGGCAGAGAGTTCCACCAGGCCGGTGGCAGGGCTGAAAAGGCTCTGACTTTGGTTGAGGACAGTTAGATATCTTTCAGGACAGGGATCACCAGGAGGGTCTTCTCCCCAGCGTATAATGCTCTCCTGCAAGTATATCAGGAGAGGTGGTCCCATAGATATGTTGGACCTACACCGTTTAGGGCCCTCAAGGTTAAAACCAGAACCTTAAATCTGATCCAGTATTCAACCTGGAGCCGGTGCGGCTGGGAAAGCACTGAATGAATGAGTGCTGTCAGAGGGGTTACACTTACTGTTATAGCAGTATATTGATATAATGATATGAAAATGATTTTTTTTTTAAATGAAGAAGCCCCAGTGCCCCAGAGGATGGAAGATATTTATTTATTTAAATTTATAATCCGCCCTCCCCGCGAACGGGCTCAGTCCCCCACTGCTAGGGGGCTGGGGCAGTGAAACTGTAAGGGAACCTGCCATGTGAAAGCTCCACTGTCACGGCACTGTATTGGCAGCCTCATTGGTAACAAGAGAAACCACGCAAGCCTGTTTCTATGTGGAAACCATCTAGGATAGTGAAACCATCTAGGATAGTGAAATTATCACTTCTGGCACTAAGCTACTTTAGAAGCATTTCTAAAGCATTTATTTTGATTAATTTAGAGGGAATGACATAGAAGCCTGTCCAAGGATGATGATGAGGCATATAGCTTTGCGGCAGAATTCCAACTGTCGGCAGGAGCTGCCCTTGATGACCCATGAGGTTCCTTCCAGGCTGCAGTTGTCATGCTGTGGAATTGGTAGGTTCTCTTCTTGAGGTCATCATCTACAACAACCAGCTTACCAGACTTGCAAATGAAGGCTGCTTCCAGATTTACTCTTGGCCACCCTTATCACATCATATCACAGAACCCTTACTATCAGCTCCCTTCTGCGGCATGCCACCACCCTTACCAGCTGCCACCCAATAACCTGATCATTAACAATCCTAACACGGACTGTGACATTACACTCACTAATCTGGAACTTCCCGACACTTCTAGACACTCCCTGCTGCCTTGGCACTTCAACACATCCTAAATTCCACAGCAAGGGGGCGGGTTTTTTTTTTGAAATCCTTAAAATATCCATTTGGTTTCTTCAAGGCAACGAGCATAGTGTCTCCAGGACATAAATCAAAGACTCCAAATTTTAGTGCAGTAGGTAATTAGAACACTCGCACAAGAAAGTGTCTGCTCCATAAAAGCTAACTTGTTAAGCAGTATGTATGGCCACCATCTCTTGGGTTTTTAGTGGGTTTTCTTTACTTTCTCCTATAGTTTGTAGATCCCCTTCCTAATTTTGTTGTAGTTTATAGGAAATGCCATAAAAAAATCCCCTACGGGGAGCAAACAAAAAAAGGTGTCTCTTCCCCGCATCATAGTACACAAAACACAGAAGCCATATTCACTCTGTAGGGGATACAAAATCCTCCCCAAAGCCACATACCTCTCTAATTTCAGCATCACCAGAAGAGATTCAGAGGGTCCACAGACAATCTTAAGGATGGGTATGGCTTGTTTGTCGGGGTCATTAGGACCAGGGTTCTTAAAGAGAGTACCAAGCCAGACTTCATACCCCGATAAGTCAGCATCACTGTAAAAAAGAGACACAAAAGTTTCCATAGGGCTGCCAAGGATTCCTGCTCTCCATAGCAGCTTCCAAAACACATCTGCCTTAGAAAAAGCAAGCGGGATTTTACCTTCCTTCTTGCAGCTAACTACTAGATGTTAAAAACCTGGATGGATGGATGGATGGATGGATGTTGCACTATAATACGTGAAAGAAACTATTCCCTGCAACTTACAAGTCCTGGCTCTTCTCTTCTGCTCCCCCCCACCCACATACACACCTTCTCATCTGATCACTGGTCATCATATTGCCCATAACTGCCATCTGCAGCATGTTCCTAGCCTTTAAAAGTCAGCTGGATGTGCATTTCCTGGACAAACTGGCAATGATCCTGTAGACGTTGAAGACTGGGCACTTCAAAAACTTGTGTTGATCTAGCCTTGATCTGGATAGACCATGCAAGCCTGATCTGGAAAGCGAAGCAGGGCCGACCCTGGCAAGTACTTGGATGGGAGACCTCCAAGGAATACCAGGGCTGGGACACAAAGGCAGGCAATTTCAAGCCACCTCTCTGAAATGTCCTAGCCGCCCTAGGGGTCACCAGAAGACACCATGACATCCAGGCACACAAGCATGGAATTCACTGGCACAGGAGGTGGTGGCGGCTACAAGCATGGACGGCTTCAAAAGGGAATTAGATAGGCATATAGAGCAGAGGTCCATCAGTGGCTATTAGCCACAAGATATAGATAGGGGCTCTGGGGCAAGTGATGCTCTGTCTTCTTGGTGCTTGGGGGGGCCAACAGTGGGAGGGCTTCTAATGTCCTGGCCCCACTGGTGGACCTCCTGATGGCACCTGGTATTTTTGGCCACTGTGTGTCAGAGTGTTGGACTAGATGGCCCTTTGGCCTGATCCAACATTGGCATCTCTTATGTTCTTATAAGCACATACACACACACATACACAAAATACCAAAAAAATAAAGTTGAGTTAGTCTGAGGCTGTTTTGAAGAGGGAAGGCTGCTTTGTGTGTGGCATTTTTTCCCATACAGAGATTACTTCCTTCTAGGAAACATGACTCATGCCAACTGATGTGCACTCAACTTTATGAGCGAGGCAAGCAAATCCTACAGCAGTTGGTTACATCAGGAATTAGACTCAAGCCAAATAAAACAAAAATAGGATCAGCCTCAGGTCTTCCAAGGGACCTAAAAGAATTATACGAAGAAGCAGTGTCAGAGGGAAGTCCAAGAAGATGCTTACCAGGAGGAGAAACACTGGCGAGTGCTGATAACCCACTGTTCTTTCACCAGCGACCCTCCACAGAAATGGATTCCTTTCCTGAATACCAGAAAGTAGACATAGCAGTAGAGAAAGAGTCAGCTTCCTCTTCGTGATCCCATTTCCCAACTTGGCCCCCAATATCATTAAGTTCTTACCCAGTCCTCTCATATTTCACAAACAGCATCCTTTCCTCTGCAGCCAATGCAACAGCTGATGTGGCATCTGTGCTTAGGCAAACGGCCTCATTTGGCCAGGCCACCAACCTAATAGCTTATAAGAGTAATCAGCTGGCCACCAGCTGCCAAATGCTTCCCCATTTTGCAGCACTCTGCTCCTTGGAAAATGCCGAAGGTGCTTAGGCATGTGCCACAGATCTGAAATCTCACCTTTAAGAACAGGGACTGCTGAGGTGTCCGTTCCCTCAGTCATTGTCACCTGCCTGGAGTCCCTTAAAGACCTTTCCCCATCATGCTGTTCAGGTCTTCTTATGGCCCCTGCCCTAATGCCCCCTGTATTATGCTCACCGATTGCGGATGCTGACAGTCCAGGGTGAGTTTCCAATGTGACCCCCTATGATACGACTTCGTCTGTTGTACAAGCGCTCATCCCTTCTGCCGCAATGCTCAAAGACTATATTGTCTGCAAAGTCAAGCGTGATACCCCTGGAGTAGCTTTAAAAACACACACGCTCATGCCTGGAGAGTACTGACACAACGGCATGGAGATGGGGGGGGGGACTCCCAATTCTCCAGCCAGCTGCACTCCCCTCTCACCAAAATCATTTCATTCCACAGAACTCCCAAGTCTGTGCGCAGACAGCTTACCTGGGTTCAGCAAGATGGAGGGCTTCTTGTCACCAGCTGAAGAAACAAAACACAGGTTGCTCACATATGCAAGTGCATCACTTGACTTCTCGGCACTGGCTTATCACAGGTAATGCCTGACAAATGGACTGAAGCCACTGAAAAGTACTTCATTTAAAGATGTGTGAAAGTTCTACGAGTGATGGGCATGCCCATGTAAACCAGGCCCAGGTGAGCTCTAACCAAGGGGTTACCAGCGCTACAGAGTGAGAGAAGAGAAGCTGGCCTCACCCTTGGCCCCAACCGCAGACCGCAGAGGACATAACAATAGTCTTTAGCAAAGTGATGGACAAGGGTAGGCAACTTGTCTGACATTCAGGTCCCCATCATGACAGCCACATCATGACCCCCACTCAGCAAACTCTTGGACCAGTCACTCCCCTTCTCAGCCTACCTTACAAGGTTGTTATGAGGATAAATTACATATATTTCCCTGAGCTTCCAGGAGGAAACGTGGAATAAAACTGCATTGACTGCTCATAATTTTGAACCATCAGGTATTCACTTTTATCTCTACAATGACTAGAGCCAGAATAGCAGTTCTAAAAGAGCAAAACTGATAGCTCTCACAGGAGGAGGAGGAGGAGGAGATTGGATTTATACCCTGCCCTTCACACAGAGTCTCAGAGCAGCTTACAAACTCCTTTCCCTTCCCTTCCTCACAACAGACACCCCGTGAGGTAGGTGGGGCTGAGAGAGCTCTGACAGAAACTGCTCTTTTCAAGAACACCTCTGACAGAACTATGGCTTGCCCAAGGTCATCCAGCAGGTGCAAATGGAGGAGTGGGGAATCAAACCCGGTTCTCCCAGATTAGAGTCCGCGTACTTAACCACTACACCAAACTGGGTCTCAAAGCTGTAATTCATGTAAAATAACATTCAGCACCAACTCTTTCCTCAATTCCATCACTGTCACCCCTACTTTAGAAAATGGGTGCAGAGATTGAACTTCAGACCTGTGAATGATGTTGGGCATGTATGTACTAAAGTCCATCCCAGTATCTCAAGGGAAATAGCACATTATGATGTACTTTCTGACACACACACCCCGAAATGGGCATGGGGTCAAGCTGAAACACAAATTTTTGACCTAAACTTAGGTATCACATTTCAATTCAACATCTCAAATGTCCAATGTTATTCATAAAACAATAACAGAATGTAAACTGGGAATGTCAAACCAAAAGCCTTATATGCAACAGTGAAGAACACCCTGAAGGAGGCATAAAACTCCTTCTGGGGGACAAGTTTCCCTTTCTTGGCAGAAAGGCTGTAGAATGGCCAGGACAGGGTGGGGCCTGCACATGCTTCTTGGTTGTGCATGCTTCAAGGGAGATGATGCAGCTAGTGTCGCTGGCAAAGAGGCCACCGTGACAGTGTCCTTCACTTCACCATAGAATCAGAGACTCACCACATGGCTTAATAGCACAGTAATCAAATTGGGTTCTAGGGTCCATTGTGTAGCACCAGGGTCCATGGCTGTCATTGTCAGGGTTGCGACAATAGTTCTTTTCAAGACGCACAGTGGGGAAGATGGTAGGGAAGATCCTAATGCAAAGACAGAACATCATCCCTTCTGCACATTTCCAAGTTACTGTCCTGTTACACCCTCTGGTCCTTTCGAAAATGTTGCTCTTTGAGGCTGTAGATATGCCATTATTTGTTATCTGTTGTAGATTATTCAGATATTTGGAAGCCTCTTATTGCTGCAAAAAGAAGATTCTCCGCTATCCCAGCAAGATTACATCCCCAGGAATAAGGCAATTTCCCCCCAACCCCTGGCTACTACAATCAAATTCATATGAATAAAGAAAAAAACACACAATCTGAGCTACTCTCACAAAGCAATTATACTTCATTTCATCTCCCCCCCCTCCCCTGCACACACTTTTTCTTCTGGATCCTTGTATCCTCTAGCGCTAGTTCCATCTTGTTATTGGCAAAAAGCTCCAGCTCTCTTGCTTGTGGGCTTTGCAAAAAGGATCCTTCTGAGCCTGCTGGTAGCTAGAGGCCCCAAAGCCTGGGATTGGTGGGCTATTTAACCCAAGGGCTGGTGGCCACCAGTTTCCGGGTTGTTCCTGCTTCTCACTTAGCAGCACTATCTCTGCTGTCTCTCACAGCCATCTATAGCCTAGAAACACACTCTTATGTGACTCGTTTTCAGGAGGGAACAATGGAGTGTTATGGCAGTTAGTCAACCTCTGCTGGGAGCTTAAGGAACATGGGAAAGGGAACCACAGCAGTGGACTGAATACCAGCTTTCTTCCCTTCTCCCCAGGTCCTTTACAGTTTGTATACAGGTCAGGCCCATAGCTACGGTGGGGGCCTCCCAGCCCAGCCCCCCCCAACTTCTTCCCAAGGCCCTCTGACTTTTGGGGAGAACCTGGAGGAGGCCGCACGCACCTGCACTCCAAGCGGTGAATTCACATGGCCCCTGCTTCTCCCTCAAAGCATTTAAAAGGACCTTTTAAATGCCGGGGGGGGGGAGAAGTGGGGCAGCAGGCAGGGGCCACAGGTGAATCTCAGTGCCCCCCAATTTTTAAAAGGTCCCCCAAAATGAAAAATCCTGGCTATGGGCCTGATGCAGGTCCTTCCCTGCAGGAGAGTGTCATGCATCTGAGTTATCTATTGGCTGTTTCCAGCTCCTCTAATGACTGAGTCAGGCAAACAGGGACCATCAGCAGCATTCTAACAGATTAAGAGGATTACACCACGAACACGGGAAGCTGCCTTATACTGAATCAGACCCTTGGTCCATCAAGGTCAGTGCAGTCTTCTTAGACTGGCAGCAGCTCTCCAGGGTCTCAGGCTGAGGTCTTTCACATCACCTCCTACCTGATCCTTTTAACAGAGACGCTGGGGATTGAACATGGGACCTTCTGCATGCAAAGCAGATGCTCCGCCATTGAGCCATGAACCTCTTTCAACCTAGTTCCTAGCTCATACTGATGATCTGATACTGGCTTTTCTCCTTGCATCCCACAGGGGAAGAAAAAAGACCTTCACCCTTAGCCTTTCCACACTGGCTTGAACACTCACTGGGGTTTGTCAGGCGACTGCTCTGACCACTTCTGACATGTGATTCCCTTCCGAGTCTTACTGACAGTGCCTTGATATTCTTCTCCATTTCCATAGTAACAATCTGGGAAGAAGGGAGACAAGAGACCCACATGAGTGCTGACAAAATATGTCCACCTTCCACATCAACAGTATCTCCAGCATTCAAGCCATGGGTCCCTCTATCCCATCTCAACAACACAGTCCCAAATGTGTATTATGTAATTTTTTTTGTAGTGTAAGAATTACCAATAATTCTTATGCAAGCATCTCCAGGAACTGAAGTCCGGGGGGGGATCCCTACTGGAAGAGCCAGCCTGCCTTCCATCTACAAATTAGCTCAGCCAGCCCTCACCTTCCACTTCCACATCATCAGCACAGCGTTTAATCTGGAAGCAAAAAGCCATCCGCAGGTTGCGAAGGGTCGTGAAGCACCAAGGGGCCTCTGAGCCATCTGGGTTCCGGCAGTAATTCTCTTTCAGGTCCCTAGGGGGCACAAGACAGCATCTTCACCATCACGAATGTACAAAAGCACTTGCAAGAAATCCTGGAATCAACTTTTGGGGTTCTAGCACTCTTTAGAATCCCTCAGCACTCTTACTTATGGATGTTAATTGCCATGTATCTCATGTTGCCTCTGCATTGCAGTTGTGGCACTGAGTAGTGCTAATGAAAGCTGTTTTATCTGATTTCAGGACTTCTGGTAGCCATACTTTGGGACAGTTTTGAAGCCAGAGGGAATGAGAGTTTTCTGGCCTGGGTCACATCATCTTCCTCTTACCCCCCTTTGAGTTTTGCATTGTTTTAGAACAGGAAACAAGAATATTATTGCTTTGTTTCTCAGTTGGCAGTACTTAGGTCTTTACAGAACTTCCTATTCATTGGACTTCTGGTTTTGGCGTCTGCTATGGTGGCTGCGTTCTCCCGGAGCTCTGGGAGACGTGTGCCAGCGCCTGCAACTGGGAGGGGGTGCAACTGTCTGCACCACCCCCAGAGCCCTCATGTTGGGCTCCCAGCCATGGGGTGCTAGGAAAGCTCTTCCTCCGGCAACTTGCTGGTGAAGGGGGGCTTCTCCATGCCCTGAAAGTCCCACCACAGAGTGTCCACGAATGGAATTAGGAACGCACACCGGGACAAGCATTTGGTGATCGAGCGAATTGTGATTTAAAGCGGTCTCATCATTGAAATGTGAGTCAAGGTTCAAGCAAAAACACCTGAAAACTAGCTGAAAGCCTCCCCTTGGGAAGCGGGGGGGGGGACTCTCTCCCGATAAGACAATAAATGAACTTTGCACAGAAGAAGAAAGGGGGAGCGGGCTATAAAACAAGGTGGACTGAAATAAAAGGACTAAGAACTTACCAGACTCTTGTAGGGATTCTAGAGACTTTGATAACTTTTACGAAAAGTAAACAATCTCAAACATGGCGCCGAAGAAGGAGGAGAAGGACAAGCAAGCGAAACTGAAGCCTCTTGCCGGAAGTGCCAGCCCAGCGAGTTCTGTCCCTAGACAGGACACGACTGCAGACCTTCAAAGGATGCTGACTGAGGTGTTGCGCCCTCTGCTGGAACAAGTTACGGCACTGCATCAAAAGCCTGATATGCAACAAACTCAACTTAATGAGACTGTAAAAAAAATGGCGAGAACGGAGCAAGAGCTCAAAGAAGTGGATGTCAAACCAAAGAAGCTGAAAAAACAACTGCAGGTGATGGAGAAAAAGAGACTAGCCGACGAGTCTCATTTATTGCAGCTGCATATGGAAAGAGCAAGCTATGTCCTGAGATTTCAAGGAGTTCCTCAGGAGAAAGGAGAAGATCTAAAGCTGGTGATGTGTGATGCTATTGCCCCAGTAACAGATATTAAAGCGGATATACTACAAAGTGAAATAGATATGATCTGTAGGTCGTATTCTGAATTTACAAGAAAGAATAATCTGCCCGGGGAAGTGATGGTGAGATTCTCCAGAAGACAAGTGAGAGACCAAATTCTTAAAGCTACAAGTGGAACAACCTTGAAGATTAAGGACAAAGAAATTAAAATTTTAAAAGACATTCCGTTTGAAATAAGAAAGAAAAGAAAGAAATTCAGAGACTTGGTACTATTTCTTCAGAAAAATAACATCCCCTACAGATGGAATGTGCCCAAAGGCATAATCTTCAAATTCAAGGATAAGAAAGAAAAAATTGACTCTGTTGAAAAGGCATTGGAGTTTTTGCAGCAGCATAATCGACCAGCAGGCGAAGAAGACAAAGAGAAAGATGACAGCACCAAGGAGACTGATGACGAGGGAGCAGTGGCCTCTTCGGACAAGGACTCAGATTCAGAATTTGGGGCGGCAAAAACAAGAAAAAGGATAGATATTGAGTTGCTATTGTTTCTAGAACTCTTTATAATGATTATTAACCATTTCTTAAGTTGCTTTTTATTAAGGCAGATGCGCAGGTGTTATGGTTTGCTTTAATTTCAGTATGAAGATTATGGTTGACCACATCCAATGAACTTTAATCAAATTTTAAGCTAAAAGCAAATTTTACAAGCATTATGTATGATCACCATCTCTTGGGTTTTTAGTGGGTTTTCTTTACTTTCTCCTATAGTATGTAGATCCCTTCCCTAATTTCATTGTTGCTTATAGAAAATGCAATAAAAAAATCCCCTACGGGGGGCTAAAAAAAGAAAAGAACTTCCTATTCACTACAGCATTATGCAAGGTGGCCATTATAAGAGTGGGTTCATAAAGTCCTTGTTTGCTGGGGAAATGGAACTGTGTCAGGTGCATAGGCTCAGACAGGATTGCCAACAGGCCTGGAGAAAAATTCCCTGCCCCTTTAACAGAAGCCTAATGTATGGAAATGAGCAGCCAAAGATCTTTGTGGCACGGAGGTAAATAATGCCACTTGCTACATAACATCCCATTAAGCCTGTGTTAAAGGGATGGAACTTTTTTTCTCCAGGCAGTTGGCAGCCCTCAGCCCAGATGCAAGCAACACTTTGCACAGCCACCAGCCTTCTCGCAAAATGAGGGGAAAAAATGTTTCCCAGAAGCACGGCAGCAGCAGAGCCCATCACTCATTAGGGACCTAAAGTTGATGCGTACCAAAAGAGTGAGTTATGTGTAATCTTCTCAGTACATGTGATCACCATTTTGTCTGACAAGGCCAGCAGGCATATTTTTCAGCCATAATATGTGGTATATGAAACCCAGATTTCTGACGGTCTGTGTTCATGTATACCAGAGCTGGAAAATATGTGCATTATCCTTTTTTAGACAAAATTACAATTGCACGACCATGAGGATAATGCATAGAATGATCTCCCAATACATGAGATAGGAATACCAGAAACATAATACCTGAAAAGGATTGTAGTGATGGCAAATGTTATGGTGCAGTGGGGAAAAATGGTTGGACAACTATACCATTAAAACTATGGAGCACTGAAGTAAGCAACACAGACATTCAAGTGGATGTTTACAATGTCAATGTCAGAAATCTGGAGACAGCTGAAATCAGCACAAGCTTAATGTATATACTTTGAAATAATTGGAAAACCTTGTATTTAGAAAGCAGAGTGAACAGGCGGCTGAGATAACAGGAAACAGTCCACCTGTTGGGTTACATTTTATGCAAAATCAGCAACATATGGCACGGGTAGTTCCCCACCATCACCATTATTGATGTGCAACATACGCTTCAGCTACAGGGGTAAATGCTTCAGAAACACAACACACAGTGTGTTTACCCAGAGTTTGAACTGGAGCTCTCCATAAGGCTTTCATTTGATTCCCTGTCACTGTGTCATTGACAGTTGTATGACAGGCAGAAATTCCACAGGGGCAGATTTTGGTAGAATTGAGAGGCAGTGGCATGAAAAGCTGTACCCACTGAATGTGTGTTAGAGACACAGAGCTTATAAATGGTGAGAGTGGCCACCATAGTGACTGTAGTGACCGCATGAGATCATTATACATCCAGCAACTCCTAGTAGAATAAACCCTTCCAACTCCATTCCTACAGGTAATGTATTCCTCATACTCTGAGATGTCCTTCAGTCAGGCATATTTCTTCAGGGAGAGGTCACACTTTGGGTGAAAGAGGTCCTGCATTTATTCCCCAGACAAATCCTTTCCACATATGCCTGCCACTCTGGATTTTCTCAGTGTTCGAGGTGAGGCAATTTAAGTCCAGGGCAAAACAGCATCCAAATAACCCCGGGGCAACAGCAGGCTGAAACCGGGCTGACCACTGATGTAATGCAGAATAGGGGGGGAAACCAGAATCAAAAGAAGGTTGAACTCGGTTTTAGTGCAGAATTGCTTGGAGGACACCACAGTGAACATGGATTCAAAGGAGAGTGCGGAAAGGGCCAAAGTCACGCCAGAAGGAAAGAAGATCTATGTCCTGAACTAGAGTACATTCCAGGGTAAGGAGAGTGCAGAAAGGGCCAAAGTCACACCAGAAGGAAAGAAGAAGATCTATGTCCTGAACTAGAGAACACTCCAGGGTTAATCCATGACATCTCCTTTACAGTATCAGAGGGCCAAACAAGATGTGACAGAACAGGGATGCTGCCACCATTTTAAAGTTATTTAAAAAGGCAGCGAGGACTCGATCCTCTTCTGGCCCACGGGATAGTGCTCTTGTCCCCCCCCCCAGGGCCTTTTCAGGTGCTGAAATGGCTGTGAGGGGTTGTTTCAGCACTTGATAAGGCTCAAAGGAGGGTGGTGAACAAGAGTGCCTCAGCCTTGTGGCATTTTTAAATGACTTTGGCTGTCAGCTAGCAGGTGTGGGAAAGACTCTTTGTCTATCTGAGACTCCTCCCCCCACTCCTGAGAACAGCCACGACTGAGTTAGATGGATCACTGATTCAGTATACACATAGTTCACCCACAGCATCCCTTTGTGACAGACGCTTCCAAACATATACACCCCCAGCCTACTTGCACTCGTATTTCTCAGGCAGGAAACTGTGCTGGTGAGGCGTCTGAGAGTCCCAGCGTTGGCAAGGGGCACCTGTTGAAGTGGTGTTTGCCTTGCCTCGATAGTCTTCTCCTTTCAGCCTGAAGCAGCCGGTTGTAGTAGCAAGGCGGAGGCCGTTCTCTGCTTTCAGGGACACAGAAAACAAAAGGAGATCTGGCACACTGCAGGTCATTCTTTTTCCTGACAGATGTTTTGTGCCAATATCAGCTGCAGCTTTTCCCAGTGGGTGATTCTGCACTAGCTTTTCCCTCCATTGTTTTACCAAACCCACCTTGGAACAGAAATTCCCCTCTGCATTGCATGCTGCTTTTGCTTTCTTTGATCATCAGGCTTTATGGTACCTTCTGCATAGATTTTATGGCTGTTCAGGGTGACTTTGCAGTCAGTACAGTGTTACCTCCGGGGTGTGTTTGAATGTGGTTTTGAGCTGCACCTTTTCCTCAGTGTTGAGAAAATGTGGAGTGAATGCCAGAGGCAGGGTGCCATAACATCTGATGATCAAAGAAAGCGAAAGCAGCATACAATGCAGAGGAGAATTTCTGTTCCAAGGTGGGTTCGGTAAAACGATGGAGGGAAAACCCAATTCAGAATCACCCAGAATTTCCCATGGAGATTCAGCACTGTGGCAAATGGCTGATTTTCTTCCAGTTAAAGGCACACAGTCTCTTGGTGGGTGGGGTGGGGGAGAAGGTGGCTATCAAGCCTGGTCTCTCTACTGAAAGCATTTGACTTCATAGGCATTGCTATTTGCCTCTGGGCAGATCCCTCTTCTTAGCAACCGATGATTACTAATGTACAAACCCAGTCCCACATAGGAGGAAACAGGGGGGAGCTGATACATATATCCCACGCCCAGGGGTCATTTAGTAGAAAAAGAGCTAGGGGGACTCATTAGCATAACTCATTAGCATATGCCACACCCCCTGACATCACCGGAAGTGTGTCCTCCCCACAGCCGGCGGCGACCTCCAGCGGGCACCAGCAGGGAGCTCCAGGCCCCGCCCTCCCGCACCTCACCCGGGGGGATGGCGTCCCCCTGCGTCCCCCCCAAATGACCCCTGCCCACGCCACAAGATACTACTGAGCGTGTGCTAGCCCAGACCAAGGAAGTTTGCAGTCTAGGCCAGGCCCGACTATGCCCTGCACTTGGTAACGTACACCCAGGTTGCGATCATACACTCAATTAGCCCCGACTTAGGTGAGAATGCCGGGCGGATTTAAAGGGAGCGATCAGACACAAACATTTGGGAAGCGTCCCGCAGCCATCAGCAACCCATGTTGCTCTATCACAGAAGCAGAGTAAACAGGCACTGGGGAAAGTGCCTGGTAGCAAACGGGTTGCTACGGCCCACGGACGGACTTTCCCCTGTCTGATTGCTCCAGCGTGCTCTCATGGTGTCGGGATGGTCTGATCAGGCCATCCCGAGTCCATGCTGTTGTCCCCCCCCTTCTCAGTATGCACATCATCACACACTCCATAGGGAGCCCTCAATGTGGAGGTGCGATTCATCGATTCCTCATTGAAGCGCATCGGAAACAAACGGCAACCCCCCCCCCAACTCACACGCAGTTGCGTCTGATCACACAGAGGCAGGCTGACGCCCACAGCTTCAAAGGACTGTGTGATCATGCAACTGGGGGTCAAATTCCTCTAGTGCAAATAGCCTCACTCCCCCCCCCCCCTTT